ATAAATAATCATCTTCCCATTAGAATGTCTTATAGACATTAAGCCTTATTAGGCTATTCATGGTTCTAGTTGCATAGGTTATGCCTATTGCAGACAACATTGTATCTTTCTCCTCGGTATTTTCCCTTAAAAATGCAAGCGATGTCGTGGATTTCATTATGCTAAAAATAATCCATACAGATCAGTATTAGAAATTTTATTGATAAGCCATTTTATTTTTATTTCTTATTTATATTTTGCCTAAACAAAAAATGATTTTAAGTAGCAATCAAAATGGAAACCAGAATAAAAATGGATCAAAAAAAGCAGATATGCCTTAGGGTTCCAGGATTATCATTATAATTGAGAATAAAATTTCTTACTGAGCTTTCTAACAGTTAAGAATAAAATCTATGATCTTGTAATAGGAGAAAACCCATGGACCATTTCCATTTAATAAGCGGTAGAAGTTCATTTTAATTCAGAGCCCGTTTCCTTAGTGACCCGTTTGGAGCAGTAGTGCCTGACGTTGGCATCTAGGATCCTCACACCGTTGATAGAAGAGAATCAAGCTGTCTCCTGGAGGAAACCTCCACCTTTATTGGAAAGCTCTTAAAACTGTATCCCTGGAAACCTAACTCCTCAAATGTTAATGTTTGTTATAAAAAAAAATGTTGTTAAATAGGGATTAGGCACAGTTTAGGAGATTTCTTTAATACTGGACATATAAGGCACAGTTATGTAATATTTCTCAACCATAGATGATCATGAAATCTTCCTGTTGGGATATAGTCCTTAACTTCTGGTAAAGTAAATATTCTTTGGAATATAGCTTAAGAAACACTGCTCTAGAGATAATAATTAAGATCATTGATGCAGTAAAAATACTTAAATGCTTTAAAACTTAAAGCATTTACTACTATGTCTTAGGGTTTGGGGATACAGAGAGAAAAGATATAGCCCTGACCTCAAGAAGCTCTTGGTTTAGATGGGAAACAGTAAAATCATTATAATATACCATGGTAAATGCTGTGATAGCAGCAGAGTCCTGCAGCTTGAAGTGAGTTTTGAAGATGACCAGAGTTAATGTGGAGAGGCGGGGGGGGGGTGTTTCCAAGGGAAGGAGCAGCGCATGGGAAAGCACAGAGGGCTGAGAAGGAAGGGACTGCTTTCTATCAACTTTCTATATTACATGTGTACGTTCATAGGATCTTACATTAGGTTTTCGGTTCAGTTGAATATGCAATTTTGTGAATTATTAATTCTTTTTGCTATTTTACAGGCTGAACT